AACAAAGTGGGAAAACTATAAATCATTTATATGTAACATAGCTATATAAAAAGTAGCAGAAATATAACTCACCTGTATGTAAAATAGCTATGTGAAATAACTTTAAAAAGTATTCCATTGAGAAAACATTAGGAATATTAACAATGGTTATCTTTGAGTGTTGGGGAACATGAGTGAATTTTTTTTTGCTTGTCTAAATTTCTTTTTTTTAAGAATCATCCAGAATAAGTTCAGTGAAATATTTAACTTGTGTTATTTATTTAATTAAAAAAAATGTCTCTGACACAGAGAACTTGGTTCATCATGCATTTGCATTCACAGCTCACTATCCTCTGTGGTCAGTGTAAGCCTCCTGTTTTTCTTTCTGTATTCTCCCCACTCCCCTACCAGGCTCCTTTTTTTTTTTTTTTTTTTTTAAGGTGGAATCTCGCTCTGTCACCCAGGCTGGAGTGCAGTGGCGCGATCTCGGCTCACTGCAGCCTCCACCTTCTGGGTTCAAGCAATTCTCCTGTCTCAGCCTCCTGAGTAGCTGAGACTGCAGGCACACACCACCATGCCTGGCCAATTTTGTGTATTTTTAGTAGAGACAGGATTTCACCACGTTGGCCAGACTGGTCTCAAACTCCTGACCTCAGGTGATCCACCCGCCTCGGCCTCCAAAGTGCTGGGATTACAGGGGTGAGCCACCACGCCTGGCCCCATGCTCTTTTTCTTTTTTTTTTTTTGAGACAGTCTTGCTTTGTCACCCAGGCTCTAGTGCAATGGTCTAACAGCTCACTGCAGCCTTGAACTCCTAGGCTTAAGTGATCCTCCGACCTCAGCCTCCCAAGTAGTTGGGACTCCAGGTGTGCACCACCATGCTGGGCCAGTTTTTAAATTTTTTGTAGAGACAAGTTCTCACTGTTGCCTAGGCTGGTCTCAAACTCCTGGCTTCAAGTAATTCTCCTTCCTTGGCATCCCAAAGTGTTTGGATTACAGATGTGAGCCACTGTGCCTGGCCCTCACCATGTTCTTGAAAAGATATATGTCCCTGAAATATTGACAGTGTTGTTTTGTGCACATATTTATGTTCTATTTAACGAAATGGCACTGATTCTTATTATATGCTTTACTATTATCATTCAACACACATTTTAAGTCTACCCCATTTCTATGTGTACTTTTAGCTCATTGCTTTGGGGTGCTGCATAGCATTCTTTAGTCTAGACCCATCACCTTTTACTTATGTGTTTTGTGAGCTGCTTCCACCTTCCTGCTACCACAAACAAAGACTATCCTTGAACACATGCCCTAACGGAGCTATGTGTGAGTTTCTTTGGGATACACATATCCCGCAGTGGAGTTGCTGGGCCATGGAAATAGGCACATTTAATTTAGCCAAGACCAGCCAGTTGCTTTTCTGGAAAGTGGTTGCACCAGCCTGTCTATGTGAGCAGGGTCCCAGGTCCCCATGTATTTGACAAGCATTATCCACCTTCCTAGTTTTTGCCCACCTAATGGGTGCAAAGTGGTATATCAGTGTTGTTTTAATCGACATTTCTGATTGCTGGTGATGTTAGCCATTCTGATTTCTACCTTTGTGCACTGCTTCCTCTTAACCTTTGTTTTTTTCCTCTTTGACTTCCAGACTTTAAAATGTATATATATATATATATGTACTTAATAGTCTTATTGAGATATACTTCACATACCATACAATTCACCCACTTAAAAAGCATTAGTTTTTAGTATGTTAAGAATGTTGTGCAACCGTCACCACAATCAATTTAAGAACATTTTTGGCCAGGCGCAGTGGCTCACACCTGTAATCTCAACACTTTGGGAGGTCAAGGTGGGAGGATTGCTTGATCCCAGGAGTTCAAGACAAACCTGGGCAACATAGATCCTGTCTATGAAAACACAAACAAAAGCAAAAACAAAACCAAAACATTTTCATCAGCCCCCAAAGAAACACCATACCCATTAGTAGTCACTCCCCATTTGCCCCAGTCCTCCTAGTTCTAGGCAGCTGTTTTCTGTCTCTATAATAGATTTTTCTATTCTGGATACTTCAATAAATGAAAATATACCATATGTGGTCTTTGTGATTGGATTCTTAGCATAAAGTTCTTTTGAGAGGGAAGAATTGAACTAGGAGTTTTAACTTTATAAAGTATTTATAATTGCTAGATCCTGAGACTACAAATAGAAATATGTATAATAGATATTGGTTTTCTAGACAATATAATTGGCAAAAAATGACAAAAAAGAGAAAAGAAAACAAATAAGTTGTAGAAAATATCTATGATATTAAGGCAAACAAAAAGATTAAGTCACAGTAATGTATAGTATTAGCCCAAATATATTTGCATAAAACAAAGGCAGGACTGATGTAAAAGAAAATGTCATTAGTGTTTATAGTTGCAGAGTAAGATTAATTTATTTTTCTTCAAAATTTCCATAGTGAACCTGTGTTTTTTCAACAAGGAAATAATCTAAAGTGATAATAAAATGATGAAAATATAAAGTTAAAACCCATCTTAAAAAGTAACCGATCTTTCTCAGCTATAGTGCTAGTTTTTTTTAAAGTAACAAACCTTATTACTGTGGAAACTTTACATTACACAAAAATAAAATCAATGTACAATGAAACCTCAACTCAGCCATTCTTGTTTTATATATGCAGATGTTTCTCAAAGTTGAGTGTGCATCAGAATTATCTGGAGGTTCTGTTAAAATAGAGATTGCAGGGCCCCACCCTCAGATTTTCTGATTTTATGGATCTGGGTTGGGGCCTGAGAATTTGCATTTCTCACAAGTCCCCAGGAGATGCCTACACTTTGAGAATCACTGACTGATCTGTACCCTCACCTGCTTCTACTGCTACCTGGATTATGTGTAGGAAATCCTAGACATCATTCCATCTGTAAATATTTCAATATGTATCTCTAGGGAATAAATATAACCACCATACTCTTACTATATATTTTTAAATGCCTAGTGATTCCTTAAAATAATTGAAGAGCCAATCAGTGTTCACACTTTCCTGTCTCATAGATATGTATTTTTTTACAGTTGGCTTTTTGAACCGGGATCTATTCTAGGTTTTCTCTTGCATTTGGTTGATCTGTCTCTTAAATTTCTTTTAACTGGCTTAAAAGATTAAAATCTGTCTGAAAAATAAAGGATGAACATGGTGTGGTTCTTGCTTCTATTTCAGAGGATGAGTGCACACGTCGTGCAGGTCAGACTCTGCCAGATCATCTAATCCAACTACATTGTGAATTCACAGCTTGAGGAGGCATGTTTAGATTGGGCACTCCCTGTGACCTTGTTGATCATACAGCCCTGGGCAAAAGGTGCATGGACTGTGGTTGCTGAGGCCGTGTCTGTCTTCCGCAGCTTGATTGTTCACTTCCCTTGGAGTGTGTGAGCTTCCTCAGTGTCCTTCCAATGAATCTCTCTGCTGCCTCTGCCTTTCTTTTGTGCTTATTTTTAGCTTTGGTTTTTATTTTCCAGCAACAAAAAGAAAATGTCTATTAAGTCAGATATTTGTACCTAGTAGAGGGATTTTGCAAGCAACAGACTCTAGAATATGAAATGAGTTGTGGCAAATGGCAGAGCTCCCATTTTGCTATAATAACAAAGGGCAGAAAAACTGTGGATCAGTCTATGGCTTGTTTCCTCCTGAAACTGTATACCTTCATGTAAAAACAGAAGGATTTTTCCCAGCCTAGCCTATGTCTTTCTGCCTTTCTTGAAGTGCTTCAAGAGGGAGCACTAAGCTTTGGCTCAAGATGGTCCATCTGACAGCAGAGAATGAGACTGATGTATGGTTTCATTAAGATTTTTTTCTTCTAGATATGAAGTCTCACTATGTTGTCCAGGTGGTCTCAAACTCCTGAGCTCAAGCAATCCTCCAGCCTTAGCCTCCCAGGTATCTGGGACTACAGGTGTGAACCACCATGCCTGGCTATGGTTTTATTAAGGAAAGTATATGCCCTGGCCAATGATCGCACATGTCAAGGGCCTGTCATTCATGCTGTCTTAGAAAGTGGGCTGCTAAGGTGATATAGTGCCCAGCAGGGGAATCTACTCTCTCAGGTGGGTTGAACCTTTCTCCATGGCAAGGGAAGTAAGTAACAAGTGGACATTTACAGAAAATGGTCCAGGAAGGTCATGTTCCTTGCTTTTCCTTTTACTGAACATTTTGGTTCCCAGTCCTCACACTGTATATTGGGGTAACATTCAGCCCATATATTGCAAGATCATGAGAAGACTCATTTCATCTTGCCTGAGACATGGACATCACCAAGAGATCCTTTACTTGGGAGCTGAATGGGAGACTGGCTGTGAATTTGGATTGTCTTTAATGGAGAGGGAGTCAGTTCATTTTTGGCTGTATGTGTGATAGCTGTATTGCATTAGGTGGTAGCAGTTTAAAAATGTGTGCATGGGAATAAAGGTGTGTGTGTGTGTGTGTGTGTGTGTGTGTGTGTATGCTCAACTACCAAGGATAGACTGTGGTATATATTTATTGTTTTGTTTTCCCAGAGCAGGGAATTAATATTAGTCAGGTTTCTGCTGTGCTAAGTTACATAACAACTAACCTTCCAAATCTCAACGGCTTACAAAAGCAAACATTTATTTCTCACTTATGGGTCTGTAGGTGGTTTCAGCTTTGCAGCTTGTGGCTTCTGGCTGCAGGTTGGTTTCTGGTCTGTTCCATATATCATCAGTGGCTACCCATGGCATGTTCTTGTGGCAAATAGCAGAAATTCAGAAAAGAGGCTAAGCCAAACCTCACAAGCACAATTAAAGCTAAAGCTTTAATTTGCGGCTAAAGCAAATCACAGGACCACGCCCCAAATAAATGAGGGTTGGGATTTATTCTTGGCCCACAGCAAACCCTGGAAAAGGAGGGGAAGGAAGAGTTGAGAACAACATAATCCATTCGACTATACTCCCCCTTCTTCTGAGAAATCAACCATGTGGTTTAAATGTGTTTCCTTTCTCAATAGACTGCATCGTTATCCATTCAGTTGCTCATGTTAGCAGCCTAGGATACAAGAAAAGTTCTGGATTGGGAAGAGAGGAGCATTTGTCCAGTGTGAGATCTATTGAGAATGAGGTGAGTCTGGGATAATCAGAGAGATGAGGAGACTGTTGGCTGTACAGATCTAGAGTGAAGCCATTTTGGTTGTTAATTTTCCCACCCGAGCTCCTGTAAGTTTCATGAGTGGGGCTAATGACAAATGTTACTGGTTTCTTAGGGTCCTCTCCACTAAAGTGTCCTTATGATGTAACCCTCGTGAAGTTACTCTGGGTTCTGAATGAAGACTGGCCCTATTTGCTTTCATATGTAACTCTGTGTTATTAAATGTCAATCAAGGTTCTCTGCGTGAAATTCCAGGCAGGTTTTTATTGCTTCAGAGAAGTTCTATGACCAACGAGCATTGGCAGGTCCTGTTTTTCAGTTTCAGCTTGTTTTGGTTCACCATTTGTAAAGATTCTCCTGAAAAAGGAATTTCTGTGTTTGTGTAAATACACTTGAGTCATCATATCTTGTGCAAATTGTATTGATTAATGGTCTCTTGTTTGCTTCCTTTTGCTTATTGTATTTATAGCTCACATTACTTATAATTGTTGGACAACATAATATGGACCAGATGGCTTCATTATTCTGAGTTTCACATTTTGAATTTTAAACGTTGTGTTGGATTGCCTGTGGCCAGCTGTGTCCTGGAGGAGATGATGAGGCCAGACCATAGTTCAAAGATCTTGGGCCAGATACCATGGACATTAAGTGTTGTTGAGGTTATTAGCATTTGAGGTGTCCTCCGGTTCCCTGCTGTGGTTTCACTTGGAAGTTCTGACAGGAGAGCCAGGGAGAAAGAATGAGGATGGGGCGGGAGAGAGAGAGAGAGAGCATTGAAGACCTTCTGATCATGTGAATGTCGTATGATTGCATTGTATTTGAAAAAGTTTTTCACCCATAAGCTCATAGAACTTATTATACTTTAGACATTTTAAGTATCACTAATAATATTTAAAAATAAGAGTATCAATCAGGGTCAGCAGGAAACAGGTGTCATTCTCAAACAGGATAATAGAAAATGATTACCTAAGAAACTGTTTATAATGATATGGGTTCAGGAAAACAAGGTAAAGTGAAGTAACATTCTAGACTTGTATGGGCAAGGGGAAGGAGTGGTTACTAGGACCCAGAGAGAGTAGCTGTAGCTACAGGAAAAGGTGACTGGATCACAGGGTGCCAAGACATTTGGCCAAACATTATTCTTGGTGCATTTGTGAGAATGTGTTGTCTGGATGAGATGAACATTTGTACTGGTAGACTGAGTGAAGCAGAATCCCTCCCTAATGTGGGTGGACCTCATCTAATTAATGAAAGATCCAAAGAGAACAAAAACACTGGGTAAGAGGGTAGTCCTCCTGCTTGACTGCATGAGTTGGGACACTAGTCTTTTCTGGCCTTTGCATTTGTACTGAAACATAGGCTCTTCTTGGATCTCAAGACTGTGGCCTTTCAAGTTGGAATTTATACTATTGGCTCTCCTTGTTCTCTGGCCTTCAGAGGCAGACTGAAACTATACATTGGCTTTCCTGGATCTCCAGCTTGCTGCCTGCAGATCTTGGGAATTCTCGGCCTCTGTATTCATGTCAGCCAATTCTTTACAAGAAATCTCTCTGTCCATATATTCTATTGGTTCTGTTTTCTGGAGAACCATGACTGATACATAGGTGCTGTGGCCTTTCTAAAGGGGACATCTAGACAATGCAGGTAGAGGAGGGAGCTAGGGTAATAAATGCCTAGATCTCATTCTTCTCCCTGGTGCCTGTAATTGGCTGAACTCACCTGGAGATTATAGGCCAAGAGAGCCAGTTGATGTAGCTTTTGAAGAAGCTGGGACATACCCTAGGATAGAGAAGAATGAAAAGTGGATCTAGAGGGTACAAATGGAACCTTTCCAGATAATTAGGTTTTATAACAACTATTGTTATCACTTTCTTATATTCTTTCAGAGATATGCTATGCATACATAAGGATATATGGAGATCTTCATAGTATTCGTGATATTTCAGACTCTTCCAATATCACTTTCATGGCTGCATAACATTAAAGAACCTTTTGTTATTAAACAGTCTTACATAGAATAGATGTAACAGTTATATAATACAAAAAAAGTAATGAAAGAAACACCTGTTTACCCCTTCATCCTGTTGGAATACTACCAAAGCTTCTCAGGGTTGCTGTGAGCACATTCCCAATTGCACTTTTTTTTCCACCAAGGGTAATTGTTATTTTAAAAATTTTAATTGCTCTTTTGAAATAATAATTTCATTATCATATTTCTGCATAAATATGTATTCTCAAAGTATTGTCAAATTTTATATGATTTTGATATTTATATCATTTTGAACTGCATATAGATTGCTGAGAATCAATTTTTATATTTAACAGTGTAATTTTGAGATTCATCCAAGTTGATGTATGTTATTATTATTTTTGCAGCTGTATTTTCTTCCATTATATGTATATGCTATAATTTATTTTTCTATTTTGCTGTCAATGGACATTTGTGGTTTCTACCTTTTTATAGTACTGTTATACAATTTCCTTGCATATACATGCATGTGTTTTTCTAGGATGGATAGTTTTTCTGGTAGAAAAAAAGCCTGATGACAGAACTTATCTTCAACTTTTCAGAGATAATGCTATATTATATTCTAAACTTGTTGCAGTTTTCACTCCCACTACTAAACTGATTGATTAGACTGCATTAAAACTAAAAACGCTTGATCATGAAAACACAAACCTAATGTTACCAAAATGCAAGGGTTTCATTCTAGGTCTCGTTGCTTACTGCACAGAAAGCCAGTCATTAAGAAAATAAAAAGGCAAGGCACATAATACGAGAAAATATTTTCAATATATATATTGAACAAAGGATTGATATTCAGAGTTTCTTAGAAACCCCAAGTCAGCCAGGAAAATACAGACATCTCAATTTTTAACAATGTGCAATGGCTGGACATGACTCATTCCTGTAATCTCAGCACTTTGGGAGGCCACCGTGAAAGGATCACTTGAGCCCAGGAGTTTAAGACCAGCCTGGGCAACACAGTAGGTCTTTGTCTCCGCAAGAAAACAAAATTAGCTGGGCCTGGGGGAATACACCTGAGGTCGCAGCTACTTAGCAGGCTGGGGTAGGAGGATCGCTTGAGCCTGGAAGGCTGAGGCTACAGTGAGCTGTGATCATGCCACTGCACTTCAGCCTGGATGACAGAGTGAGACCCTATCTCGAAAAAAGTATGTTAAAGATTTGAACAGGCACTTCATAAAAGAGAATCTAAGTTGCCAAAACACATAAAAAAGGTGCTCAGCTCACTAGTTCATCAGGGAAATGCAAGGCACTACATATTCCCCAAATCCTCGCACTGGAAAAATTGACGATGCTAAGTGTTCACAATGATGTAGAGCACCAGAAACTCTTACTCTCTGCTGGTGGTAAAATGATTTAAATTGGTACATCCATACTGGAAAATTGGTAGTATCTACTAAAACTGAACCTAAGCATAGCTAAAACACGCAATTCCATTCCTCAGTATATACCCAGCAAAAATGCCTACAAAATGTTAATAACAGCACTATTAATAATAATCTAACATTAAAAGCAGCCCAAATGTCCATCAAGAGTTGTATATCCATGCAACAAAATAGATGAATCTCACAAATTTGATGAAAATTGAAAGACACCAGATATAAACAAAACTAACTGATGGCAATAGGAGTAAGAATAATTGGTTACCTTTGAGGAAGGTGATGATTTGGAGTGGACATGCTGGGGCCACCTGGCACTAATAACATTCCTTATCTTGCTCTGAGAGTGAGTACATCGGATAAATTCATTTTGTGGCAATTCTTGAGGTGTATACCTATGATTTCTGTATTTTTCAGTATTTATGTGGCACTTCAGTAAGAACTGTCATGAAAATGCCATATGTTTGGAAATTAACTAAAGTGTGTCTAAATAATCATGGGTAAAAAAGAAATTATGATGGAAATACAACTTAATGATGACAATACTTCATGTCAAAACTTGCAGGAAGCAGGTTAAACAGTACTGTAAGGAAAATTTTCAGTCTTAAATGCTTACACTGGAAAGAAAGAAAATCTTAAAAACTTGAATCAAGCATCCAAATATAGCAGTAAAACTTATTATTATTATTAATTTTAATTTTAAATTTGGGGGCACATGTGCAGATTTGTTACATAGGTAAACTCATGTCATACGGGTTTGTTATACAGAGTATTTCATCACTCAGGTATTAAGTTCAGTAACCAGTAGTTATTTTTCCTGATCCCCTACCTCCTTCCACCCTTCATCCTCCAGTAGGGCCCAGTGTGTGTTGTCCCCTCTATGCGTCTGTATATGCTCATCATTTAGCTCCCACTTACAAGTGAGAACATGTAGTATTTGGTTTTCTGTTCTTGCGTTGGTTTACTAAGGACAATGGCCTCCAGCTCCATCCATGTTCCTGCAAAGGACATGACCTCGCTCTTTTTTATGGCTGCATAGTATTCCATGGTGTATATGTACCACATTTTCTACCATTGATGGGCATTTAGGTTGATTCCATGTCTTTACTATTGTGAATAGTACTGCAATGAAAATACATGTGCATGTGTTTTTATGATAGAACAGTTTATTTGGGTGTAAAAGTATATAGAAAGCAATAATAAAAACAAAATAGAAAACAAAGATAAAATTTTTAAAAACTCAACAAAGACCAAAAGTTCAAGAAAATAAAAAAAGAGAAAAGGCACAAATATACAACTTTAAGGATGGAAAGGAGAACATAGCTACAGGAGATCTAGCTGTGTCCAGTTGCACAGGGTTTTCTAAAGATCACCTGTGTGGGGAATCTTTTATAGAGGAATGCAAGTAGATGCAGGCAGGCCAGTTCAGAGTTTATTTCTGTAATCCAGGTGAGATGCAATGGTAGCATTTACTGGGACTAAAGTCTTGCTTAGGAAGTGTGGTCACATTCTAAGGTTATCCATTGATTCTCTTTTATTCTAATATTTTTGAGATTTTTACACACAAAACAGTAATCCTCATTTGGAATTTTAAAAAATATAATGTGAGATAGAGATATAACCTTTCAGATGGAAAACTATTTATACTAGCACAATTTATTTAAAAATAAATTGCAATACCATCCTTTTTGCATAGTAAGTTTCCATATGTACTTGAATCTGTTTCTAAATTCCTCATTCTTTGTTCTGCCATGTATTTGTCTCTTCCTATGCAGATACTATACAATAAGTTTTACAGTAAGTGTTAAATCTGGAAAGGTATATTATCCCCTTGCTATTTTTCTTTGGCTTTGTTTTCTTATATTTCTTTCATATGAACTTGAAAATCATTTCAGGCATTAAAGAATTCTCATCTTTGTGCTGTTTTGAATGGCTTTTATATATTAGGTTTGGAAGAATTGACACTTGTCTTTCCTTCCAGAAATATATTCTGATTTTCCATTATTTGGGTCACCTTTTCTTTTCCATGAGTATAGGTAACCAAAACTTGACTGCGCTTATGTTCAGCATTTTATATCTTTTATTTGAATATCTGAAGGTAATATTCACTTAACACGATGTAATTGAACAAGCAAATAGTGCTCATTTAATTAATCACTTAATATTCTAAACATTTCTAACTTTTCAAGTGTAACATTTTAAATATGGAAATTCATCTTGCTCTGTGATTACTGAAAGCCTCTGATTCAAGACTAATTGAAGAGAAGAAAAAGTATTAAAAGTAGGTTAATCAATTTTATATAATTTTTATTAAAAAAATTTTTTTTAGCAATGGTATCTCACTGTGTTACCCAGGAGGAACTTCTGGGCTCAAGCAATCCTCCCAGGTAGCTGGAACATGGGGTGTACCACTGCATCCAGCACAATTTTGTATAATTTAACAGATATTCAGTGTAACTTTGGAATTGGCTATACACTATTGTCTCTTATATCAATGCCCCTTTTGAGGTTTTGATTTCATCGTACAGCAAAGCAATGGCAGAACAGGTTTGAGATTTGAATCAGATTATCTTCATATTTTCTGAGTGAATCAGAATTACAAGTCCATCCAGAATTACTCGACAATAAAACTTCTAACATCCTCCTCTACCCCAACTGAGGTGGTATGGGGAAGAAACTCAGTCCTGGCAGACAGGTGGCCTGGTAACCCAGGTCCCAGTGGCCTCAAATGTCTCAACATATTCCTCTGCTGCCTTTTTGCCTCCCTTAACAAACTGATCCAAGTCATGTAGCAGGAAGGGACACCTCTCCTAATTTAGCTGACCAAGCTGAATTCCTAAGTATAAAAGGAAGAACCTAACCATTTATCTCTTTGAGTGATGCTTTCTGAGGTTGCTGAAGCAAGACTCTGGCAATAAGGCCCTGACCAAATTCAGCTGCCTGAAGACAAGATGGACTCCAGTGCTGACCTTTCATCAACTTTTTCTTCATTACGCTTTTACTGTTATACTTAACTCTCTGCCCAAGGTGGGTCTTATCTGCCTCTTTTATTCTGATATTTTTGAGATTTTTACACACAAAACAGTAATCCTCATTTGGAATTTTAAAAAATATAATGTGAGATAGAGATATAACTTTTCAGATGGAAAACTATTCCAGCACAATTTATTTAAAAATAAATTGCAGTACCATCCTTTTTGCATAGTAAGGTCACCATTTTCTGGTCATGCAATGCATGTTAGAGCCTGGCATACCACTGTGCAAGCACAGAAAAGACCCCACCTGATATGGTTTGGCTGTGTCCCTACCCAAATCTCAGCTTGAATTATAGTAATCCCCACGTGTCAAGGGCAAGGCCAGGTGGAGATAATTGAATCATGGGGGCAGTTTCCCCCATACTGTTCTTGTGGCAGTAAATAAGTCTCATGAGATCTGTTGGTTTTATAAATGGGAGTTCCCCTGCACAAACTCTCTTGCCCGCTGCCATGTAAGATGTGTCCTTGCTTTTCCTCCGCCTTCCACCATGATTGTAGGCCTCCCCAGCCATGTGGAACTGTGAGCCCATTAAACCTCTTTCCTTTATAAATTACCCAGTCTTGGGTATGTCTTTATTAGCAGCATGAGAACAGACTAATATACCACCTAAACACGCTTGGACCCCACCTAAATGTCCCTTTTCCTACCTCAAGTTCCTTAAAATGACAAAAGCTGATTCCCCTGGGATCCCTTTCCTGTATGCTGCTCGCTTGTGGGCTGGAGCCAGAAGCCTATCAAACCTTGTCTGGGAAAATCTCCTTGGCCTGGTGCAAATTTCTACCTACATAAGCACCAAAGAATTTAAGGTCTGGGGTA